AAAGTTTCTTTTTTGAATTTCTTTCTTGAAAACAGTTTAGTTTTCAATCTAGCATGCAGTGCATGATTCTCTTGAGCGCTACATTGTTCTGACTTTTGCACGTGGAACATATTTTAATTTAAACAAAATGTTCTGTCTGTTTTGTTCAGAACTCTTCGTTAGCTATTAGCAATTCTAGGTTTTTCAAGGTATATAAGATCCAGAAGATGACAGTTTATCAGTTTCAATTTTATTACACTTCTTATGCCACCTATTTAAGTTTAGAGGGGAAAGGTCTTAGTGTAGGAGATAAAGTGATAAACAGACGATAAGTTGGCTCGAATGAGGATCTCGGGAAGTTGTTTAGTCTTGTTTGATTTTGTCGGTTTTACTTCAACGACGCAAGTAGAAGTCCAAACGGAAGGCACCGTTTGTTTATTGACTTATTTCATGCCATAAAAATATCTCTTAGTCACGCACTCAGTGGTGTTTGTACGTCACGTGACTGGTAAGGTTAAGGCTACTATTGCATCATCAAGCATAAAACTAGGTTTCTTTCTTGAAGGCAGTTTCTAACTCTGTGACTGCATATTTTTTTTATTTTAAAGTTACATCGTTTTAACTTTTTTGCATACGGTTTTTTGTTCTGCCTGGTTTGTTAAGATACTGATTAGTTCTTCGTTAGCTATTGGTGTTTCTAAGCTCAGATTAGATCCAGAAATGGGTAGTTAACCAGTTTGAATGGTTCCGTCAACTCCGTGCTCGCTAATCCCCCTCCACCCCCCAACTGAGGGGCATCTTGTCTTTAAAATCTTCAAATGCTACACAGTGGGCCCCTATGAACTTCGATCGGGAAGAATGCAAATGCCCTATCCGTGAGACAAGGTCAAAATTTAAGTATTTCACAGCATTTTAATGATTGATGATGGAAGCAATAATTGTTCACAAATTAATGGATATAAATGAATGCCTGCAACCTTGGTCACGTTTTTAGGAAGCAGTGTCCAAATGCCCAACCCTGGGGCAGAAAAAGTTGTCAAATTCCCGCTTCAAATTATGTCCCAGGGGTTTGGAATTGATGGGGCCATTAATTTAAACTTCCACTTCATATGTAAACCAAGTTCTGGTTAGGTCGAAGTGTATGGTAAATCTATAGAAGTTCCATCAGCAACGACGTTAGTGTCATTTTGTTCCCAAATAGTGGTTCGAATAATATTGCGGTCTCCGAGTGCAACGTTTGAGATCGTTTACAGTTTTCTCTGTTGTTATGTTCTGGTCTTACTGAAATACTACACGGGGAAAATTTTCAAGGCTCTTTGCAAATACCAAAATCAGTCCGCAATCTGCGCCAACGTGGAATAAAATCGGAAGAAAAAAACAAAAAAAGTAAACCGGTCAAAATCTACTGTGTCTATGTGAAAAACATTCACAGTCCATATAAGGAGAAGTTCATTGACTGATGTCCTCAAACCGGTCTTGAACGAATAGGTCTAAAAAGGGAAAACTTGCTTACCTTTTTTAAAGCTTTTGTCTGTTGGAAAACGTTAAAAAAAAACTGCAGGTGAATGGTTATAGTGTAGGAAATAACGGGATGATCAGTCGATAAGTTAGACTGTTATCTGCCTCGAATGAGGATCTTAGTCATGTCTCTGGTTTTGTCTGTTTTACTTAGGCGACGCAAGCATGAGTCCAAACGGAAGGCAACGTTTGTTTGTTGAGTTACTTTGTCTTAGTCACGCACTCAGTTGTGTTTGTACGTCACTTGAAAGTTTGAGCTACTGTTGCATCATCAAGCATAAAACTAAGTTCTTTTCAGTTCTTGAAGACAGCTTTCAAACAATGAGTGCATAATTTTTTTTTTCGAGCTCTACATACGGACTCATTTACGTACGGACTTTCGCGTATTTCAGTGCTTATTTGAATTTGTGATCCAAACTTGCAGAATGTTCTGTCTGGTTTGTTCAGACCTCTTCGTTAGCTATTGGCAATTCTAGGTATTTCAAGGTATTAGATCCGTAAGCGAGCTATATAGCTACGTTCCGGAGAGGGGGTAATGGTTTAGTGTAGGAAATGATTGGATGATCGGTCTATAAGTTAGGCCGTTATCCTACTCGAATGAGGATCTCAGCTAGTTAATTATTTATTCATGTATGGTTTTCTCAGTTTTACTTCAGCGACGCAAGCTTAAAGTGCAAACGGAAAGGAACGGTTGGCTTAACGAGTTGTTGTTTGTTCCCCAAACATATACTTCTTGGTCACGTACTTTATGTTTGTATGTCACACCGATAAGGTTAAGGCTTCTACTTTCATCAAGTATAAAACTAAGTTAAACTTTCTTGAAGACAGTTTCTATACCTTGGACTGCATATATTACGTAAAAAACAAGCGTAAACTTCGACTTTCAAATTCAAAATCTTGACATTTGAAGGAAATTATTTGAAACCGTTTGCACAAAAGATCATTTTATTTTATGCGTTAGCAAGGAAGTGTATTTGTCTCAATTTATCAACCATTATGGGCTGAATTTTGAAAAGCTGGAGCTTGATCATACTGCGTTTCCCATCATCAGATATAGAAATAACGTCCGTGGTGGCCCAGTCTGGCTTTGAAAGTTCTTGTGCTGCCCACGTTCGCCACTGTCTCTTAAAGCCATCGAGATCTTGCTTTACCATTTGATCCAACTGACGCCAGTCTTCAATATTCTGTTTGACAAGGTTGAGAAGGTTAAACACTTCAATTCTCGGACTGATTTGAGTAAATCAAGTATACATGTTCTATAGATCCTTTCAGTTAGCAGATGAAAGCGATTTAATCTCTTTCTCCCTGGTATTTTCTTTTAGTTGCGTGTGTTAAATGTATTTTCTTACCAACAAGGATGAAGGTATGACAAACTAGGTAGCCTGTGAACAGGCTCCCGGTGAGCCCGAACGAAACTCTCCGACTTCTTCTGTTTCACGCTCGCCGAAATTTTTTCCGTCCTCGCCGGGAGCCTGTTCGCAGGCTACAAGCTAGGATGAAGGTATGACAACTTTACTATATAACGAAAGATGCAATGATTCGTAGGCCCCTGTTTAATTGGCATTCTGATATGACTGTAGATCGCGCATAAAACTTTAATCAGGAGCCTTTGTTGTGGATCTTGCTACCTCATTGGCGGATATTTCAAGTTCATTACTACATTGATTGAAAAAAAGCAAAAGCCTATATTTTGCATCTCTCATTGCACTAATGAAACTCGATAAGTATTTACAGACAATGCATTTGTAAGAAGTGAAATGAAGTTAGATTAGTTACTTAAAATGCTGTGTTTAGACTCGAACGGTTTACCGAGGTATCAGAGTTTACTTACCTGGGTAAACATTTTCCGTGTGTAAACGCCAACTGATACTTTGGTAAATGCCGCAAAAGACAAAAGAAATTTAACCGAGGTAAAAGTTGTAATTACCCTGTG